TTGTCTAAAACTACTTCGTAACACTTAGTTGCTCTTGTACATTACGATATTTTATTGACGTATTGTACTTACAGGTGTTTGATCAGCTGATGAAAACGAGAATGATAGCGCATATGTGTAATTGTTTAACTATAGTGTGTATTGAATAGAACGTTTAACATTTATACATCTCCGTGAATGTTTGGTGTTTTTGCTTCATATATAATAATATAAATCATACAAAATCAAATTCTTATTTTAAAGAGACATAGCTAGTATTAATATGGCTAATCATATCCAATGTTTTTTACTATTATTGTTTTCATAACTAGATATGTAAAAAGCTGCTGGACGGATAGCCGATGAATGAAATGAAAAGTGTTAACCTATATACAGATGATTTGAAGCAGGACATAACAAAATAGATTATGACACTCGTAGTGTCCCACATACCTTACTATACCTAACGGCTGAGGTGTTATGTACATATATCACTAGTAATAATAATATAAAATACAAATAATGTGACCCAAAATATCATGCAGACCTATATATATTAGTTGATTAGAATAATACGCCAAAATACTCTAATATTGTACTGTTCTAACTAAACCTAAAAACCACCAAACTCCACTATTGAAAGCTTATCTCTCTTTTTGCTTAGCCATAGTCGGTAAAAAAAATTATAGACGTATTTTTATATCATATAATAATAATGTAATTATCATAAAATGCATGTAGGTATGTAGATATTATAGTCTGACCGCAACGGCAATCACTATTATGTCTATACAAATCATGTAATGACTGTGATTATTATTTTGTTGTACGCTACTCGAAAACCACTTGCAATGTTTACATTTTAACTAGATAATTGTTATTGCCAATAGAGCTTAATCGCATCCTTACTTCAGCCTTTAGATTTTTTTTAACTATAGTGGGAAAAAAATTAATAACTCACTTGATGGAATGTAGCAAATGTCACCAGTAGACATTTTTTTTTTTTATGGCTGATAATGGAATAGTGCTCCCGCCTGCGCTAACGGTTTACGCTGGCGGGGCACCAGTGGAGGATGATAAGATGAGCATGAGGTCAGGTCAGTTAGCCCATCGTGACAAATTCACAAAGAATTTATCAGGATGGTTTCCAGGGGGAACCGCGTGGAGGTCAACCTGATATGGTACATTGCTAGTAATGCGGTCATGAGTCCACATTACTAACAATCCCCTCCCCCCCACCAGTAGACATTAACAGCACCAGGGACATCATGTCATCATAGCCTGACGACTCTAGTATTGGAACATTACTATTAAATTTATATAGATATTTAGGCTAGATTAACTGAATAAAAGACATCATAATTAGAATTTCTAATTTAGAAAGTTTTGTGATCCTTGTACTAAATATATAGATGTTTTACATTTATAATTCATTTATATTATGGAGTGTCTGGTCATTTTTACAGGTACTATATGTAAGAGTCTACATATAGGTAGTACTGTGATAATGCGACTCGTTGTCATTCCTACACTCAGGTGATTTACATAACTCCTTTCATGCAAAAAATATATGAAAAAAGTATATATAATATATTATTATTATTATAGAATATAACGGAAAAAAATTCGATGTACACGTCACACGTGTCTTACGAACACCACTAATAAATTAATGAATTGGGATGAAAACAGGTTAAGTATCATAACAAATTAACTAAGAACTAAGCATGATAATTTTGAGGTGAAAGTGCATAGAGGTCAAACTGATAGTTTGATACCTAAGCCATTGCCAATACATTATAATATGTTGTATATGATACTAATGAAAAACACAATACAAAAAGAAATTAGGCAACCCTATTTTAAGGCCTTAACAAATTCTTAAAGTAAATATTCACAATGAAACCAAGAACAGCTGTCAAATTTTAAGGTCAATGGCGCTATCTTAGCAATCCTAAAAAGGTGCACAACACGCGTAGGTAAAGTATTTCGTAGCACACAAACAATAAGACACATAATATTCTGTATAAAATAGGGTTCTGTACAAAAATTCCTCATAGTATATGTTCTACCACTTTTTAACAATTGCTAAAAATCGGCTACACATAGGATTTTCATATGGATTATTTTGTTTAATGTTGGCCTTAGCTCAATTTATTATTTTCCATAGATTAATATTTCAATCTTAATAAAATATAAAAATAATTTCAGTATTATATATTTATATATTTTATTAAGATACAAAATCGTTGAATGTGCAAAGCTGCTCATAAATTGTAATAGAATTATGACAAATATAATTAATAGGAACCCTAAAAAAGACGCGTGGGCAATACTCGAGTGCAAATTTGGGAGAACATGCCTAATGTGCTGCAAAATACTCAGTTAAATATTAAGACCATGAGTCAATCCTATAAGTTAAGTCCTATATGGTAAGTTAATAATATAAGTAGGTATAATCTGTGTCATTGCACAAGGTAGTCTAGATTTCAGCCTTGATTTATTACGCCCGGTGTTGCCTTATATTGACATATTGTATGTGCAGACTTCAGGTATTTCCTATTGTATGTACGAGTGTGCAGTTTTGTATACCAATATATCAGTTTATATGAAAAATAATGTAATTTTCTGAATCTAAAATCTACTCAAGGAAGGACAGCTGAATTCTAAAAGAAAAACCCCGTTCAATACAGTATTTGAAAAAAACCTATTGAAAATAAAGGAATTCTTAAAATAATGATGTTTTAATTACAAATACACGTGAGAATGTCAATATGATTCAGTATCACATATGGACGTATATATTGACCACGTAGCCAGCCAGTCACTTAGTAGAATACACTACACATGCGCCCATAATAATTCTACAAATACAGTAAATCTGACTGTAAGCTCGGTTCCGTGTGGAATGATTATTATATCATAATAATTGCATATGTTATTATTATACATACATAATGATATAAATAACGTGGGACATTAGGCTCAACGTTCTACTGCTCTGACAATTGGTAGCGTCACTACAAATCTAAGTGGGTGGCTGTAATTGTACTGCTCCCACACTGTCAAGTTTACGGCCGAAATTCACGCGTCACGTAATGGAATAATAATTACTAAGATTTTACCTACCTAGAGTATGTACATTTGAGCAAATCTGTTTATTTACTTAGGTAACATATTTGTGAGAGGACTTGTGTCTTTTACAAGTTTTTCTGTGTACAAAGTCTCTCCTACTATTTGTACGTAGAATTGTAAGGCTTATTTAAACAGAACGAATAAACAGCCGAATGGTGTAAGGTTTTAATATAGGCAACTAAGATTGCCAAAAAAGGAGATACTTTTGATCTGTTTTAAAAGTTCCAGTATGTTCAATTTGTACTACCAAACGCCCCATAATCATGCATGTCGTTCTAATAAGTCACTTTCATACATAAATTTTCATCACACTTTAATAATCTTATAAGTTTTAAAAACCACAGGCAGTTGAAGTTATAAATAGCGTCACCGTAAAGCTGTATCCTATCACAGTCCAATTCACAAAATCGTGCTATAACCAAAAAAACATGGTACCTTACCTATAATACTTGTATTAAAATGTTTAAAAATTTGAATTTGTCGTTACGTTAAAAAATAAATGAAACTGTATATGCTACCTGAGAAGACAATCAAAGTCTTTAATCTTTGTAAGTCAAGGCGTAGCTACCTATATATATTAATCTGATGTGAGCGCCATCTGATTGTTTGTCAACGACTCAAAATCTTGCTCAGATTTACGTGAAGCTCTGTGGAGTAGCGGTTCGCTTATAAAAAACTATGGCAAAAAATTATAAGTACATCAACTTGAATATTTCAACCTGTTTTAATATTTTAAGGCCTTTGTCGGTATACCTAAGTGGTAGTGATAAAATCACAACAATGTGATTAAATGATGATGACCAGGGTATGTAAGTGGTTATGTGTCTTCCTTGAATTACAGTTTTAAGTATCTATTTAAACAAAAGGCATTTTATTTAACATTTAAATGTAATTATTTCACAAACTAAATTCCTCTAGTGCTATAACTAACTAATTCCGAAATTATTTATATAAAGGTCAATACAACAATGAAAATAAACATTAAATACAACTTAATAGCAAGTTTCTTTTTATTCGTACACTTACACATATATTAATATTTATATAATAATATTTTGGTGTAGAACGGCAATTTTGAAAATTAACATGTGGTAATATTATACATATATAGAATAGATATAGGTAGCTATTGTGAACAGTTATAGCAGTCACGTTCACTTGCACATAAGTAGACACTAATGACTTCACAAGGAAGCGCGTGCCACAGTAAACAGATGCAAAGAATTTTATAGGTATCCTTTTAGAGTATGCCGAATGAGTAAGTAGTCACATAAGTAATCTACCATTGCTAGATATGAGGGAGACCACATATCACGTTCGTGAATAGATCACAATGTCACAATTTTTTAATGACTCTACCTAAATAGGCTTTTCTAATACTTTTATTTATTTCATTTATAGCGCCATCTGTACGTTAAATGGAACACTTGCTATTCAGCGATAGATGTCAATAGTATCGCCTAACCAAAAAGATTCACTATAAAATCAAAGATGTCAGCAATTTTCTGTAGAATCTTATTCTAAATAACCGACTTTACATAAATTGTAATACATTTTGTATATTTCATGTAGTTGAAAAATGAAATATATAAAATAAAATAGAAAAATCTTACCTAAAAGATTTGTCTAAAGCCCATTTATGATCTGACTGAACTGGACGTAATTTCATTAAATGAAATAATTGTAATAATTAATTTGTAATGAAATAATAATGATTATGCTAAACAAGAGCTCACATAATTATTGTTTAGCGTATTATATGTAGTTCAGGAACGATTACCTAATTATACTACAACCCGGTTGCATTTTATATTAAAGAAAATACAGGACAGGTTAAACACACTTTGAATATTAAAAGGAACGTTTTTATTGTAAATAAATATTTATTACTTATTTTTTTCTGCCGACAATCTATTTTTCCGATATACCAGCCAAACAAGACTACCGTTAACAAAATAAGTCGTTATACAGACTACACATATGTCACGTAACACAAATGTAAGAAGGTATGCCAGGTAGAAGCTCGATGCAAGCCCACTTAATGTCAAAAAGAATTGCAGCCGCATCCAAAGACGATGATCGAATGTTGCTGAAAAAAAAAATACGGTTAGAAAAGTAAAGAGGTTTGTATAAATCGGAGCATGTGGTGATTATTGTTTCTGTCCACCCTGTAGGGAACAGGTAGGTACGAAATTTAGATAATACATAGGTGTAAGTGTATTAATTAAGTTAAATTATAATTAAAATGGTACAACCTGTACTTAGTATAGGTAAGCAAAAAAAGCTATGCAAATATAAATCATTTCACGGTATGAAGATTCGTATGTACACACAAAAATCTTTTAAAAAAAGAATAATCTTTTGTAATTAAACAAAACGAATTTATTAGATACTTTCCAATAAATTCAGCGTTACCGTTTCTCTAACGATAAAATTAAACAAGCCAACCTCAATTAGGTACATTACATAGGTCCAATATATCGAGAATTCGGAATCAATTTATTAAAGCAAATATTTTGATGGATTATGAACTGTCGGGTAACGATATAAATCAAACAAAAGCCGTGGCTTATTTCAATATCGAGGGATAACAATGCCACTAACAATTTCGGCCGTTTACGAGCGTGTTTCGTAGAATTAACATTTTAGCAAAACAATAAAAGCTCACGCGAACTCTTCCAACGTTCTAAACAGAGAACTGTTTATTGGTATTAAATTTTGATAATAAACTCTTGCTCGCCGTAATAAAAATAATTATAAACTCCATTTATAATTCATAAATAAAAATTATAGATGATATAAACAATTTCGCTTTTACTTTAAGTCTTTGGACTTAAATTTATGTCTACATGAAAACTCATATTATAATCTCTCTCAACTAAATCAAATAGCTATTAGTAGCCTGTCTTTCGCAAATAGCCATTAAATATTCACGTCATCTTAAAATCCCTTTCTTATTTGATCACTACGTCAAGAACAAAGTAAATACTCTTAGTCAGCAGAGTGATAATATTTCGCTTTTATGTTTAAAGCCTAAATTTACATCACATAACTAGTTTTATGCGTGATGTTATGAATCTCATTTCGCAATATAAATTAGTTTCGCGAAACCAAGACAATTTCGTTATTCCACATAAACTGTTCTAGTGTCATGAAACTAATCCATGCAATAAATATTAAATTAGATGTTTTCACGCTAAATTGTAGATAAACATTATATCGTTTCACTCCATTACTTTCGTAATGTAAATTAGGACTTTAGGGTACCTTAGTTTATAGACCTAGGTAGGTACAAAATTGGATCTGATTATAGACAAGTCATAACATTATTCGTAATTCCATGTTGTTTCTTTTTGCATAAATAACTCTAGTTAACATATACAAACACAAAGTAAATATTAGATATGTAAGTGGTATAATGTTAGTAAAGTGTTTGTCTTATAGTTTATACAAACAATAAACGAATACTTCAGACTTCCCAGGCGATTTCAAGCGAACAAATGCTATCCTATTACAATAACGGTTATTCGCAGCTCGTGAGCTACCAAATAAGCGTATACTGTAAGCAGCTTGCGCGGATTTCGCAAGATTTTTCTCGTGGTAAAGTCACGAAACTAAAACCACGGGCGCCGGGCGGTAACTCGCGATATACAAAGTCTGGTATTAGGTTTGTGGTAGTATAGAAACTGTTTTAATACTATGATTTGTTTTCTATTGTCTTGTCATATTATAACATTTCAACATATATATCTTACATTTTAGTTGAATTAAACCAATATTTCCTTATGGTCGATATCGTTTTGTATCAAGATTTAATATCTATTTAGTTATAACTAAATAATTATTATTCTTAATATAATATATATTTGAAAATTGATTCATAAGAATATATTTTGATAATAAACATAATAATAACATAATAAAAACAATTGGTATATCAAACTTAAAAAATATGAATTATTAAAAAAATACAATAAAATTGTCTATAAGGTAGTTAAATAGCTTTGTCTTAAATGTACTGTACACTGCTGCATCATCGTATATCTAAGTAATGTATTAAATAGTTTTGGTACCATTATAAAAATACTTTTATTTGCACGATATAATATAGTTTTACTTGGCAAAGCCGCGGCGTCATCACAGCGGCGTGTAATTTATAATATTATATGTTTATTGCTCCCATTCCTTATAGAGGTTGTATATTATATTAGCATAAGTACATGATAATATATTATCAGTTTATAAAGCTCCATCCTAGTATATCTGGTGTTACTACATTATTAAATGGGCTACATCGATTTATGAAGCAATCGTAGTATTTTTATACCGTTCTAATTTTTTACAATACTCTAGACTTTACAGTGGCTTAAGGATATTCAGATAATTGCTTGTTAACAATTTGTAGTTAGGACTTATAAATGGTGCATATATTTGATAATGTAATAACCCATTTATTTTCTCATAAAAGGGGGACTTTAGCTTACTATAATCACACCAGAGAGTTGTGTAAATGTAATTTAGCTTGTTACCGTTGTTTACTAACACTGGATAATTAGGTAAATTTATAAAGACAGGAATAAATTATTATAAGCCAGAATGGAATCTATTTTTATAGGGGTAATCAATCACTTCAGTCTTAGACAGTCTTCAAACATCTATTTATAATATACAAATATCTGTGGTTTGGTTACATATTCCACTTACTTTGAATTACTCAGCGCGTTAGATAAATATTCTTAAAATAAAACTAAATTCGATTCAATATTGAATAAAATGGATTTTCTCTAAAAATATCCTCTAATAATAACATTTGAATATAGGTACTACTTACTTAAAAATATAATCAAACAGTAGTAAATTATCCCATAAATACAATTCGGCACGTCCATCTTTAGGTCTTTGGGGAGAAGCCCGAACCCTTTAGAATATCTGTAATGAAAATACATGTAGGTACAATATTAAAAATAGACAAAATGAAATCTCCTAAACTATACATTGTAATTTGGAACGAGTTCTAAAAAACATTTTCACCATATTTTCTTTTATATTCCGAAATTTGGTCGCTAATTCGCACCGATATTATTTTATTTATTTTTTATACACTTTATTGCACCAGAACAAAAAAATATATTAATTAATATAAATATATATATATATATATACAATCATAGGAACAAAGGCAGCCTTATCGCTAAGCAATCTCTTACAGACAACCTTTAGGTAGACGGTGAAGGTATATGAAAAAGAGTAGGAGGTGCAAATCACAACACAACTAATATATAAATAATATGTACAATAATAATTAATATTAATAATAATTTTGTGGTGGTTTTTTTTGGTTGGACCAATAGAATACCAAACTCAATAGAAATAAAATTTTCAGCTACTAATAACTATAAATATCTATCTATCTATAGTTAAAGAAATAAATTACTCACTTCGATGTAAGAACTCGAGAACAGCTTGCATATTCAGATATGTCACATAGAGCCTTGTAGCCGGGCCGTGCTTCCGCTGCCATCTCCACATAAAGAGCATAAGTAGAAACCAGTACCCCTATTATTGCTGTTGCTATGATGAGTCGATCTAGTCTTTTCGTATGCATTATTGGAGTTTTCTAAAAAGAAATAATAAAATAACAGTCTGTTCATTATTTATCGCACTAGCCGTACTGTTATATATTTAGATTATCTTAAGTTATCTGATAGGTTCATTTTGATTATAGATACCTATATATATACATGTACAGATTATAAGATAATAGGAATCTAGTTAAGGTAAGTTTTTCAATCAAAGACACTATTTAATGTCTTATTAAACTTACTAAAACATCAATTTAAATAAATAAAATCGCCACATAATTTACCTAGTTAATAACATCGGTATTAATAAATGAAAACATTCAGGTGTTAATTTACGAACGAGATCTCTATCGGGCCATTACGCGCCGCTGAATTTAATACGCTAAGTGAAGTGCCGTAATTTATGAATTCGAAATGTTACTTCGAATTCGTTCAGACGCTTTTTTGTAAAGCAATTAAGTTTTTATGAATACAAAATGCCTAATATGGTATGAATTGATTGTATGTTATTACACTACAATGACGTGAATTGCGGTCACACAAATTATGTATAACATATTTTTCCTGCACTTTGTTAATTAAATAAAAAAACTAATTAATTAAAATTGAATCAAAATAAATAATAATTGGCAACGTGGCTAGACCCGCAATTTTGAGGTTCTGTATTCTAATCAGTAAAACAGAATTCTTATATAGTATAGGTATTTTCTTTTTTACGGCCGACTAAAAAGTAATAATAATAATAAACTCTTTATTGTGCACATAGAAAAAATACAATAAGAAAAAACAATAAAAAGAAAATCAGGCGGTCTTATCGCTATAAGCAATTTTTTTACAGACAACCTGCAATATAGGACTAACGTACACAGAAGAGGTAGATGGCACACACAAGACACTATAATTATTAAACGAATTAATATATTGGAAGATTTCACAGATAAATAGGAAAAAATGAGCTAAAGGGACAGATAATGAGAGACGATAGTTCCAAAGGCGAATGGCTTGGACAGTGAAAGAGTTGGAATAAAAGTGCTCAGATATGTTAGATGACAACGCATTCATTTTTCTGCCAAGTTTCATCTTTCAAAGCTTTCTTACAGTCTCTTCCACTAGCTCTTGGGAAAAATAGATAGGTGTAACAGAAGTATCCACGTGACAAAACAAAACACAGTAAAGGCCTGAAAGTCACCGGTTCATAGAAGTAACAGAAAGTTGCCTTTCAGCAACCCTACTTGCACAACCTACTTCATATTGTAAACGTCTTGGAAAGTTGAAATGCACATGTACCGACGGTGGCTAAAATAAGGAAACCATACCAAACAAAAATTAACTATATATATGTTCAATACATGAGTAAAATATGCATTTTAAAATAGATAAGTATTATATTTCTATTAATTTATAAATATACGTAGCTAGTTAAATATAGTAATAAAATACCACCAAGCGAGTATTTACGGATAAAAAAATTAATGGAATACGTAGGTTACTATTTTAAAAATTAATATTACAGTAATATGGCAATAACGACTAAATCATTAAGTTTTACGGGTATCGATTCCTGCACGTTGCTTATTTTACATTTATTAAGTGTTTTGTTTTATATTTAATTATGTGTATTAAGTTTCAAACTTTAGATACTAAATACACGTTACAAACACAGATCACATTTGCTGTAGGTTTATTTCATTTACAGACAAAGAAATGAATTATACAATAATTCAGTAGATACAGTGTATTGAAATAAACAAAATGAAAACAGATTAAATTTTAATGCGTATCGATTATGAACCAACTCTCTGTAACATACTTTTTAATAAATTCTTATAAACTTGGATAGCGTAAATCAACAACGATTATAAACTACGATTGTAATCATCACAGATGTGTATAATTGTATATGTAGTACTAAGTATATCACGTATTATTAATAAGTCAATCGTTTATTCTTAAAAAGCAACTATTTACTGTACCTAACATGTGAGTAATACAGTATTTTCTCATTCAATGGTATTTTTCAACTTTAGTATTATTATAGCTTACAGCACACAAGTTAAAGTCTCAAGAGTTCACATGCTACTGAAACAAATTATATTGACACGTCTTTACATAAAATTAATATTATTATCATTAATTAATATGCAAATTGCCGCGGAGTCTGCGCAACCAGTCTTTATTATCTGATAGATCTTTGAACCCAAAAGTACATATTCATCAGCCTCAACTCTAACTATAAAGTTAGTAGAGACCAGAATTTATAAAGTTTTATAAAACTGGGTAGGTTTATGGTCGTTCACTGTGTTCGTATGAATACATAGGAATATTAAAAAACAGTAGATATCTGTAACATGTTATTAAAGTCCATACTACCCGTTTACACTGAATACGTCAACCCGATGAGTGTGGATGCCGCTTAAATTACGCGATCCAGTGAACAGAACAAACAATAGCGTATCTTGCCGATTAATCGGAACGTATTTTATACAATAATATAATTTTAACGCGGTTACTGTACTGGCTTTTATTATTTCAGATATTGCTAACATTTCATTCTGTTTATACGAAAGCAAAGTAAATTAATTGCCATCATACGTTGTCTATACCATTCAAAATAATTATCTAATAACTATAAAACGAGTTAATTAAAATACTTAGTTAAGTCATACGTAGTAAAATAACTTGCTTAGGTACTTATTTTTAATTCTTTCCGCAAACATGTAAATAACGTTATCGCACTAACAGTCATTTATAAAATAAATGAGATACTAAACTATAAATAATACAAAAATAATAGTTATAGATATTACCTATCTTATCTGTGGTTACAGTAACTAAAGGTGTATTATATATTGTAGAAATTAAATTAGCTTGGACAACAAGTATTTGATACCTATTTGACCTTATTCATATTATTGACTGTCATGTTTACATAATTTAAATTGGTTCTTTAATTAAAACTTTCTTTTCAACGTATATGTACTTTGGTACAGGAAATAATATCATGCGCCACTCGAAGAAGTAAAAACACTTTTTTCATAATAATAATAGCATTTAGCGTTTTTTTCTTCATTCGCCAGCCGGTTTGCGGTAAAGTCATTATTTTTACATTCACCAGATGGCGACACTCATGGGAAATTATCTATAATTTGTACTTTACACATTTAGTACAATACAAAACTTGTATCTGTTCCTGGCATTAATTCACACATTATGTCTAAATATCTAACAAATATTAATCAATTTACCTTTTTCAATATTCATTTTAATTTTATATGGATAGTTCATGTTGTCCGTCCGTTACAGCGTTATACTTACCTATTTCAGTTTCGATCAATTTTATTATCTAAACAATTATAATACTACATTTTATTGAGTACATCTTTAACGATAGCAGCTCTCACTCTTTTATTCTAAAGTATTTTTTAGGACTAAAAATATATTACATACTTACCTACTTATCTAACTAAAAAAATCTGCCCAAATCATAAATTTGCTGTCACAAATTATACATATACCACAATTCTTGCCACTGGATGGGATGAATAGTATGATAAGAATTTTTCAAGCATGAGAAAACAATGGTATAGCAACAATAATAGGTAAGTGCATCAGATTGTGAAAAATGGACTAAAAAAATTAGCAAGTTGCCAATTTTCTTTACTTTCATGTATTGTAAAGTACTTAATAGAAAAAATAATTAAGTATTACCAATATACATAATAATAATGAAATAAATGAAAAGACATAATGAATAGTAATACATTTCTTTTTGTTATGTTTTGTTCAAAATTTCCAGTTATATTTTAATCAACTTTTAAACAATTTACACTCTGGTAACCCCACATGCTATGAAGCTGATTGCAGAGAAGGTTTTAATAATGCGTACCAAAATAAAAAAGAAAACTAAATCAAATTATATATAATGTCTGACCGTTTTCTAAAATGTAAAAACTTTGCAAATAGTTATAAGAAACAAAAGCAAAAATATTTTGTTAAACCAACCAAAACAAACAACTTTATACTAAAATTTACTGGCACTGCGATACGATAAGATTTGTTTACGACAAATAGTTACATGAAATATTATTTCTTGTTAAGCGCCATCTGTTATACACTGTAGAAACGCCTCCAGTTAAAGAATGACAACTATAGCAGCAGCCTAATTGTTTTAATAGTAACTATGAAAAAAGTAATTTATTATTAATAGAGTTTATGAAACTGAATTATGAAAATAATATTTGTTTTTTAGTGCTTGTAGTAAATGTGTTATTCTGTAATTTTAATGAGTTTAGAACGCAGCTGATTAAAATGTCAAAATCAACCAAGATAAATATTATTAAACAAGAACACAAATTGTAATGCACTGTGCCATCCAATAAAGCCAGCATGGAGTCGAATTCTACTAAATATTAACACAGTGAATCGATGTTGGAAAGCATTCACACTAACAAGTTCTTTTCACATAATATCCCTACTGCCAACATAATAATATGTTGTATGAATATTTTTATATTAAATCACTAGCAATTTAATCAATAATATATGATTTATGAATTATTTCCGTCACGGAATAATTGCGGTTATAGTAAATTAAATAATGATATTATATTTAATATAGACTTATCCTAAACTTGTATACAAGCAATTTCGAAAATAATGACATAGAAAGAGACAGAAAGGTTTGTAAGAAAAGGAGGACCGAGCGCCACATTGCCAATGACGCCCGATATCGCGGAATGTAAGTTTCGGTGTGTTGGTGCCACTGGTTTAGTTCACCATCGCGACCGCAACGCAGCGTTGGCGTCGTGCAACACCTTTCATTGTATTGACTATTGACTGATTCTGAACACAGAGAATAATGTATAAAGTTAATTTATCTTATTGTTGTCTTAGTTCTTGTTGAAATATATAGTAATATGTCTTAGTTTAAGTGGAATAATGCCTCCGTTTACGTGAATGTGAAAGAAGACAGCCTGTCTAGTGCTACGCGGCCATTTTACTTGCAATGCGGCAACGGTGTACGGTCCGCCATTGGAAACGACCAGTGTCTTTTTCTGAGTGTAAGTTTTATATTTTGTCGAATAACACGGCATAAAACCGACGGATAACCATGTGTGATAAAAGTGTAGTGCGGACTTTAGTGTAGTGAAGCACGGTGGTCGGGTGATTCGAATAATGTGCGAACGATGGAAAACGAAGTGAAGCAGCGCAATCAGAGAAATAGGCGAAGGGAGCGGGCACAGCGCATGCAAGCACAGCGAGAGAGTAAAGTTAAGGATGGGGACAGTGGCGAGGACGAGTCTCCGGCGAGAGAGAAGCCGCCTCGTCCTCCGGCCAGGAGGAAGAAGTCGCGGGAGCCCCTCGGAGAGGAGGACATCATCGATGGTTTCGCCATAATGGCATTTCGCACCTACGAAGATCTAGAGGTAAGTTCATCAAACTAAAATATAACCCAAAGTAATGACATGTCACTTTATAACAAATTCTGAATGTCTGGACGCCCCATTAATTCTGTGTATTGTTTACATTTACATTAGCCTACAAAACAAATTTAGTTTTTGTCTTACCCATCACAGATATACAATATACATAGAGTAAATAGAAGTAATAGGTGTATTTGTTGTTATGCACCACTATTTCTTAAATACAATCTTGTATAATGTGACTAGGTCACGTTAGTTTAATTTATACTATACAATAACTACTATTGGTAATCTTTTTAATTGGTAGGTAAGTAATTATAATACTAAATTATAGTCATCACACGGATTGTCCTTTAAATAGGATCCCTTTACAAAAACAGCACTCCGTAATCGCTTTGGACGTCGACGCTTCGGAAGTGCATTGACCCATCAAGACTGAGTGAACCCTGTGCAAATGATTTGAAATTGGTCCATCTCTAATTGATTTTCTTATCAGTGAAAGAAAGTACACTCCTATTTAAAAAATATTACGCTTTGTATACTTAGTTGGTTCTAATAATATCCTGGACATGAGTACACATACGCATTGTGTAGTTATGTAGCTACCTATTATGTAGTGAGCAGCTGACGACGGGCGCGCCTGCCTGAACGCGGGGCAGCGCTCTCGGCGGGCGAATGCAGTCGCGGTCTCCCACAAAGTGTAAATTTGGTCTAAGTGGCTTTCGCTCGTTTGTGCTCATTTATCGCGCCGTCCTCGAATGGCAATATGTTGTGTACGTTGAAGTCTCGTATGTGCACAATAAAACTACATTCTGCACTATCGTTTTAAATTATGGCGACAGGCTTGCCGTTTGTGGCTCGTTGGAGCGGCGCGCGCTTATATTATAGGCTGAACAGGTTCCTTTGCCCCTATTTAATTCACCACATGCGGTGTGCAAACGCTTATGCAATTCTATTCACAATGACTGTAAATTTTCTTGGTAAAAGCCTTTTTCTCTATCGTTTACAAAGACATTACTGTTTACTGTGCACTCATGTTAATGTGTGTGTTATGTTTGTACTTTACACACAGAATTATCATAATAATTGCAAGATATCGCAGATAGGTATTATTTTAGCGTAACTTACAGGGTTGGAGAATAATTTTATTGATGGCAACTAAATTCCAATCAGTCATTATCATAGTCGTCATACTTTATACGTATGTAATCGGAATTATTATAAATTATCTTTATTTCGTTCCTTCAATTACGTGTAATTTGGACATTTGCCTACTTAACGTAACTATAGGTAATATGGTTAATATTGACTTCGTCATTGTATATTAATAAGAAAATATCTCGTATATTTTCAGGTATGTATCTACTTTATTGTATTTATTTTAAAATAGCGTGATAACTATTCAGTACAATGGTAATAAGTGAATTTTAAACGAATAATAATAGAATAACTGTAATTATAGTGGACTGGTACTATCGAGGCATAATCGAATGAGAATAAAATCAGATCACTTCCAATAATAAGTGAATTATTAGGTATATAAAAATATAATAATTCATGTGTTCTCAAACCAAATATAATGTGGCTCTAACTATATGAATATAGAATTAACGCTACGATGATCCTTTAGCATTTGATATAACATCAAGTACCTTAATATAGAATAAAATATTTCTGTTTCTCCCTTAAAAATACTTACGTGCATGTTCCACATACGTAGCTTCATTTATCACGCTGTAATTATAAACATAAATGTTTGTCTAAAAGTACATACTACTTATTTCCTCCATATTCATAACTTCAGTCTAATAATATTAGTACCTGCACAAGGTGTTATTTCTCACATAAATTATGCTAAGTGCGTATCTACACTTGTACTAAATAGTTTGCATTATACGGTACGCTGTTAGAATTTCTGTAAGTGCTTAATCAATCAAATTTTTCGTGCGTAACATCTCTGACATTAATATTATTAGGGTATATTATATAGTAATATTAGTATACAAAATTATAGCGACTATATGTATACCTCTTTTAGGAAACATATTATAAACTAAAAACTATTAATAAGGTCCAAATTGTTATGCCCACTGATGTCAAATGTTCTATTTATTATTTAAGGCTAACATTATTTACAAAGTACCGTCTAATTGAGACATCCCTACTCTTTGAATTTGGTTGACAACATTTGAAGCTGACCTTGTTAAACCCGGGTGCAAAATTTTATAATCTCGATATTTATTTTATCCTCTCTTACAAGTAAGCTATACGACAACATCTTTAAGTGTTCTCAGAAATCTAATACGTTATATTATGTTAAACCCGTACTGCTTTTTAGGGTATAACATGCGCCAAGATCTGGGTCACTTATAACAGGTAATAAATGTACATACATACCCGAAAAACATTACACTCTCCTCGGTGAAACCTCCATTATAGAAGACCTTAAGCCAAATAAAACTACTTAGTTATGTAACTAGGTTACTGCGGTACCTATTTTACGAGTACAAAATAGTCTTCGTAGTTTCTTCTGTTTTGTGCTGTCAAGCTAAAGTAGCTTGACAGCGAGCTGTAGCTACAATGTTTAAAGTGTCATAGCTTATACCGAAATGCTTTGGACAAATTAGTTGCCATTAATAATATTGCCTATTATGTACTATTACAGAATAAGTATGTACACAACAAAATAATATTTTATTATTTTTTCATGTAGAATTCATTTAGACATCTTTTAAACCCGTAAGAAGTGGTTCTTTTTAAGTCATTTTTTTGTATCTTGCAATACTTTCGTCAATCCTGAATCGATATTCCATAAGATATATTATAGTAGTAGTAGTAGTATGTAGTAAAATTATATCAAACTTCTTTTATCAATCCTATTTATTTTGAACTAAAATTCATGCTTACTAAAAAAAATCTAAAAACTGAGCTCCACAATTCGGTAAAGGGAAAGACCCTTATCGACTCAATTATTATCCCAACAAAAACTTGGAAATAACATAAACAGTGAAGCGTAACCATGTCATCCAACACCTTCGGGGCAGTGAACACTATTAACAATAAATTTACGATGCTTGACAATTTTCCCACGGTATTGTAGTCGGTAGCCGTATGACTTTACGTACCGAAATCTAGCATAAATATTTTTAACTACTTATAAATTGATGTATGGTATATATATATATATTCGCGTACTGCATATGTATGACATTTTTTTTCTAAAACAATACTATTTACTATGGGAAGATTGGCGTTAATTTTTGCTAGTAAATATAAATTATCAAATAATTTTCGAAATTAACACGTAAAAATATAACCGTATCGTTAAACTTCTCATTTTAGGTAATCTTGAATATTATCTGACATTGTCTAGTAGTTATAAAAAGTAATTTAAAATTAAATTCTACAACTTCGTTGAACAAAAACAACTAGCTAACTTTGTTTATTAAAAATAAAAAATGAACCATGTTCAAAACTAATTTGAAAAGTTTGACAAGACCCATCTACCTGATAAGCGACCGAGAAACATTGGATGTGGCATGAAGTTAGCGAGCGTGAAATATTGTAGGCATTGGATTTTAGCGAAGCGGACTAACAATCTTTTTCTTTCTTAAATGTTTTTTGTCTCTAACGAGTTATTAAATTGTGCGTTTTAAAATTCCGTTAATTTATTTACTTAAAAGGGATTGTATTATTTTATGTTTTATAAACACCATTGCCTAAAATTATCGTACACGTAATATATTGCTCAGGTAGATATGGAACCTTATATTTGCTCTGTTTAATAAGTTCCTACTACCTATTCGTATTAGAAAATAAGTGTTAAATATTTATTTTATAAGTGGGAACACAAAACGATTACATACCTCAAATGCGTGTTTATTAAATTATATTTTTTATTACACTACTTCAGATCGTTAACATCGTGGCAAGATATTTTTATGTGACGAAACCCAAACTCGTGTTTGAACACTTAATTTGGTTCTTAGCGTGTAGGTAAACAAAATCAATATTACAAGACAAGCCACGATGGGTGGGAGCACCGACCGACCGTCTCGGTACCTCAGACACCCCTATGACCCATCCCATAGTACTGATACAGGAGCTTGGTGTTAGCAAGCTATGACATAAATACTTACCGGGCTAAACTTTAAACCGCTTCGTTTCGCTTTTATTACCTGACTCCTCGAATTTTGTTACACCACTTAGATTTTCAACACCCACAGTAACTTAAGTTCGAGATACGCAAACTTTATAACTTAGCACTCTGTAAGTATGTACAAAGTTGAAGAGTACGTTTTGAAATTTCTTTTCTACTTTTTTCTGCCTAAGTGATAGTTTTTAAGTTTTTAAAGTATAATAGAAGAGATTATAACTCGCTAGTATATGGCGTTTTTAGTTTTCACATTTTGTCTGTTACGGTTAGCTTAACTTTATTTGTATAATAACATTTCTTATACTTGAAAATAATTGATATTTTGAATTAAATATAATTGTACATTTTATTATATATAGTACTATAGTAATACAATCTATAATCTATTGAACGCGGTTTGTAACAATGTAGAAGAAACAATATAAATTGCAAGTATATTCACAAACATATACTGTTGAATTTAATTGAATTCCAGTCATTGCATTTAATGTACAAACCATCATTCATAAATAATAATTATTATTTATGAAGGATTGTCAGTCTTATCACCACAAAATTAACAGTGTAAAATGTAGTCGCTTATATCTATGCAAATAAGATTCTATATTATTATATATTTTCTATATTATTATTGATTATATTTGCAAACAATCTAAATAGTTTGTAAAAAGAGTAGTAAACACTTCTATTCCTTTCTTGTATTATATCTATTGTCTTGTTATTCCTATTGATCTTACACTAATTCTGCCAGTTATTAAATCTTAATTTTTCATTATTTTATCTTTGTTTTATATTCATAGGGCTATCTTCACAAACTATTCCAGTACTTTTGCAAATAAACTTAACC